CCCCCCCCCCCAAAAAAAAAAATTCGCTCGATAAAAACTGTTGAACAAAAATATTACAACAGGGGGCCATGGGGAAAAATCAAGCAGTATTTGATGGTAATAAAGTTCTTGCTCAAGCTGCTGCCCACCCCCAAAAAGGCATGCACAACCTAAAGGTGAGGACGAGATTCATGCCCCAGAAAATTGCCCAACCCCCCTCGCCTGAAAAAAACAATGGTCCGTCCCTCAGCTATCTAGGCAGATACATTCTAGTACACATATACGTTACATTTTAGTTAGGATCATCCATTCATACTCTATTTTATTTCTACAGTTCATCCCCGCTTAAACGGTTTAGCTCGGTTCAGAAAATTTTGTTCGTTATTAACGAAGCGCGGTAAACGCGAAATTCGGATATAAAAGCATCCCTCATGAAGTGTTCGTGTTTCAAGACATGCAGTTGTTTTAGTAGGATTACATAATCACTGTAAAGTACGCATCTTAAACCGAGTTTCTTTGGTTCAAAATTCTCTGCGAGCCAACACAGAACCAACACAAAAGAGGAGTATTACTGAGACGAACCCCCCACCTCTCCCCCGTTTGTTTTCGAATCCTGTTTTTTTATCTGTCACATAGCTTGTCACCTAATGGACACCGTGTACTTCGTTAGTTGTATTAATGAGATGTAAGCTGTACAGGGTTTTATGGATATGAGAAACTAATTTTTTCGGACTAAAAAGGTGCATGGCCGTCATAAGGTAACGGTAGTCTCTAATTCTAGTCTCTAAGTTTTCTAATTCGGTGTTGCACCATAGATAGCTTTGAAAATAGTGCAGTATTTTGCTTAGTGTAAGCATTATTCTTACTTTTACAGCTTGTATTGTAATGTCTTGAATTTCTTATGCTCCGTCAGTTGCTTTTATGAACATTCAAATCAGAGGTATTTTTTTAATGTTAATGTTAATGTTTTAAGAGGTTTATTATTCTTTAAGAAATAAATATATTTGCTAGTAACAATTTCATGGTCGTGTTTCCAATAATTTATCGTACCCAAATCGTCTTTTATTAACCAATCTCGACCCAGCGGCGAGGTTATTATTTTTTTTCGTTCATGTATTAATTTTTTTTTTCGCGCGGAGTGTCGATGTTTTGGTGTGAAAATTTAGTAAGTGCAAGTCGAAAAATACGTTTTGTCGCCAGAAGACCTTGAAAGAGTGTGCAAGGGAACAACGCAGATCCAGTTTAACAAACAAACAAACAAAGTAGATTGTTCACGAATCACGTTCAAAATTTCAGAAGATGTTAAATCAGCGCCATGTTAGTAATTTTATCAAGTAGGCGCAATCGTTAGCAAGTCCCTTTTTTGACACAGAACACACCGAAAGTCCGCTAACTCGTTTGACCTTTGGAATATTTCTGCGCAGTGAAATCGCGAAAAATAATTAAGAATTATTCGACAAAGTTGTGCAAAATATCGGGATTTATTAGTAATGAGAAGATCAACCGAGTTCAATAACTGTTTTATCATTCAACCACCAAGTTTGTTTTCATATTTAAATCCCTCTCTGATAGCACTGGGAAGCTTTCTGCCATCTACACCGCTACTGTAGGAGAAATACTTGATCAGCTGGGATGGAAATCGCTTCAAAGCAGCAAGAAAGCAATGAGACTTTGCATGTTGTATAAGCTACACTATGGTCTAGTGGCAGAAGATGGAATGCCAGAACTAGCGTAGAGCTAGCAGGCACTAATGACGTTCGCGCTAATTGTTTCTGCGCACGCAAATTCATACTCCACGTTTTGCATCGATGCGCGCGCTAAGTAGTAAAATGAACAATGATAGGGCAGATGACCATTGCTATAGCTTTGCCTGGATTTAACGATCTTGGACGTTCGGCGACTCCTATTTTTCTTTTGGTTTTGTTCTGCTTGCCCTGCCGGCTTTTCTTCCTTCTGTGACTTTTACCTTTTTTTTACCCAAAATAAGAGGCGGGGGGACTCGTTTGGAAATGTACTATTTGCATGACCGCCTGCTTGATTTTATGTATTTATTTTCTTGTTTATTTGTTTCTTAATTTGTGCATTTCCTAGTTGATTGATTGATATTCTTTTAACGAACGTCCACAAAAATCTTCAGCAGTGAAGGAGGTGAGGTAACATGGAAGAAGAAGTTTTTCACACAAGAGCGTGGTTGCAATTTATTTATTTATTTTATCTTTATTTAAACTTCCTCAGGAAGTTTAAAACTGGCTTACGGAGAGAACTTTCAGTTAAATCCTCCATGCACCAAACATATGTTAAAATCTGTTAAAACATGTTGAAATGTGTTAGAGTCTGCACGGCACTTTCGGGAAGGAAACCAGTGTACAATTAGTGAAAAGTTTAGTCCACGATCCTAGCCAGGGCCCGTACGAAGGCCCCACCAACCACGACGGAGGTGGCTCTGCATCTTTAGATCTCTTAGCTGGTTCACAGATTTTCAAACGGAAACCCTTGCCATTATTCAACAGTCATCTTAACTGGTGTTTTTCCAACGTTTACCACCTTGAACACCTTCTGCTTTCTTATATCGACAGTTAT